TTGTTAGCTACTTGAGGGCAACATCACGAACAATGTAATGAAATGCTGTCTGGTCCTGCACCATCTTATGATCAGCTACAGATAGGACTGTTGTGATCCAAAGGAGTTTCATCAGCTGACTTTCAGAAGTAGATAGCCAGGCCACCTTCCTATTTTACATTAATCTGGAAGGTCCCCTGAAACCTGTTCAGCATTATGGCTGCACATGATGTGCACTGGTCAGGAATCAAACTTGGGTCTCCTGTACAGAAGGAAGAATTCTACTACTGAACCAACACTGTTACAGTAAGTAGTAAACTAGAAATCAGAACTTAAAAATTAATTGTCTCCAGGTTATCAAATTTTTTTCTTCACATTTTCATCTAGTAATGCTACTATATTTTAAGAAGTTTCAAATTACCAAACATCTTAGTTGGTTGCCAGAGTAAAGATGAGGAGAAACCAAGAACCTAAAAAAAAATCTGTATTTAGAAATACTTTATAATAAAGCTAACAATTTTAATTTAATTTTCTCTAGCTAACATATGTTCTAAGATTTTGACTTATAATTTATTAAATATAAAATGGTTCCAAAAGTGTCTTGTAATGCAATGCATATTAAAATAGACCTTACCTGTTTTTTTAAACTATCATTCAGTTCTTTCAATGCATCGAAAGATGACCTTAACCTCTTGGTTTCTTTAGTCCTTTCCTTAAGAACTTCAGTTAAGTGTTCAACTTCTGCTTCACGTTGCTAGGTAGGAAAATAAGTCTAGAAATTAGGATTCTATAGTACTAATGCTATGAAACATAAACTAGTTAAAAATTAGAACTCTTTAACTACCAAAAACTTTAATCAGCATATTTAAAATTACAAATAATTTAGAAAAACTACATTGTAAACCAAAACAGTAACATAACATCAACATTATTTATGAAACATTTACTAAAATATATTATTATACAAATTAACCAGCAATAAGTCTATTTTCTGCTTTTACACAGAAAAATTCACCTGTACAAACTCACTGAAATACTTTCTATTTGACATCATGGAATAATCAAACAATGAAGGATTTCTAATACTCTTCACTAAGCTATTTAATTATTCATGGCATTATAGATTAATATTATCCTTGGAAAAGTAAAAGAAATATTTCATAGATAGAGCAAACTAATTCATTATCCTTATAAGTTGTTAAAATTTTTGATGTCAGATTTACATCTCAAAAACTATTAAATACATACTGAAAAAATTTTTGTTACCCCCCAGACTATATGACTTTCCTTAATCAGTTTTAAAGAGCTTTTGTGGTATAGTGCTTAAAGCATTTGACTGTTAACCAGAAGGTTGGCAGTTCAAACCCACCAGCTACTCCACGGAAGGAAGACTTTACTTCCACAAAGATTTACTGCCTCAGAAACCCAAAGGGGGTCACTATGAGTCAGAATCGACTCTATGGCAGTGAGCTTGGGTTGTTTTTTTTTTTAAATCAGTTTTATAAAATGATTCAAATAAATTTATCCCCTGCCAAACCAAAACACCAATCTCACTGCTGTCATGTCAATTTCACTCATACAGACCCCTCCTTGGGTTTCCAAGGTGGTTATCTCTACAGAAGTAGATTGCCCAATCTTCTTTCTGAGGAGTGGCTAGTGGGTTTGAACCGCCAGCCTTCTGGTTAGCAGTGAAATGCCTTAGGCACTACACCACCAGAGCTCCCTAAATTTATCCTCTAAAAACTAAAAAAAATCTATTAGTGATGTTTAAATAGTATAACAGATTTTAGATTTAAAATGTGAATACTTATAGTTTCTTCAATCTTTTATTCTCAATTTATTCATAATGTATTGAAATAAGTAAGTTTCTATAGGACTCAAGAAAATAATATGATTTCCTATTCCTAAATAATAACATATATATCATTAAAATAAAGTAGTTTATATTTTTACTTAATAAGAATGTTGTTGTTGTTGTTGTTATGTGCAATAGAGTCGGATCCGACTCATAGTGACCCCTCCTTGGGTTTCCGAGGCAGTATCACTACAGAGTAGGATTGCCCAATCTTCCTTCCGAGGAGTGGCTGGTGGGTTTGAACTGCCAGCCTTCTGGTTAGCAGTCAAGTGCATTAGACACTATGCTACCAGAGCTCCCCTTAATAATAGTAACACACAAATCTAAAGAGAGAAATTAAAAAAAAAGACCAGGATGAAGAGATCTGGGATTCCAAGGATTCTGTCTTTATCTCTGCCCAAAAAAAGAAAGAAAGAAACAAAGAAAATCCAGTAATCTGAAGGAAAAAAAAAGCTTTATATCATTTTATTGCTATACTAAATAATTCTTTAAATAACTTTGCATACTGTCATAAATATAGTTATTTTTAAAAGCAGTTTAATATTTCAGCTGTCCTGATTTTTTTTCCATATCTAAAAGATAATAAATGACAGACCAAAAGAACTAGATGGTGCCTGGCTACTACCACCAACCATTCTGACCAGGAACTCAATTAAAAACTGCCAGTTAGAATGGGAGAAAAATGTAGAACAAAACTCAAATTCATTAAAAAAAAAAAAGAAGAAGAAGACTAGACTCACTGGACTGGTAGAGACTAGATGAACCCGAGTCTATAGCCCTAAGACACCCTTTTAACCTAGAACTGAAGCCACTCCCTACGGTCATCTTTCAGTTTAATAGTAGATTGACCTATAAAATAAACTAGAACATCTGTAAGCCATGTGCTCTTTAATGCCATCAACTACATGAGACCAAATGAACAACACTTGCTCAAAAGCAAAGAAAAGAAACAAGAGAAGGAAGGAAAGGGAAACTGGAGGGATGGTGTTTTGGTTACCTCTGTGCCCCTCTAACAGAAAATACCATAAATGGGAGGGCCTGAGCAAACAGGAGTTTCTTCTCTTATAGTTCAGGAGGCTAGAAGTCCGAGTTCAAAGTGCCAGGCTCTAAGGACTGGGTGAAAGCCCCTCAACCTTGGGCTTCAGCTCTGCTCCTGGCCCACTGAAGCTGGAGGCTTTTCTTTACTCAGATAGCTGCTGGCTGCTGAGGCTGACAAACCCAAGGTTGACAAGTAAAAAGGCACAGTCCCAATGTCACCAAACAACACAGAAGGCAATTGATTCAAGTCCACTGGAAGTCCCAAGATTGGCAGAGCATGGCAGGCTGCTGAACAACGATCAGGCTACACACAGGATTCAAGCATTCCATAAGCTGGACACCATTCCCAAAGCTGTTT